TAAAATATAGAATAAATGAAAGATTGTGAGTCTCATCCGCATTGTCTTAAAACTTTGTGTCCATCCTACGTATGTATTAATGTAGGAGCCATCATCTATTTTGGAAATATGCTAACCAAGGGTCCCAGGTTTTGTGCTAACCAAGGGCCCAATGTTTTGTGGAAATATGCTAACCAAGGGCCCAATGTTTTGTGGAAATATGCTAACCAAGGGTTCCATGTTTTGTGCAAATATGCTAACCAAGGGTTCCATGTTTTGTGCAAATATGCTAACCAAGGGTTCCATGTTTTGTGCAAATATGCTAACCAAGGGTTCCATGTTTTGTGCAAATATGCTAACCAAGGGTTCCATGTTTTGTGCAAATATGCTAACCAAGGATTCCATGTTTTGTGCAAATATGCTAACCAAGGGTTCCATGTTTTGTGCAAATATGCTAACCAAGGGTTCCATGTTTTGTGCAAATATGCTAACCAAGGGTTCCATGTTTTGTGGAAGGCAAGTGAAGTTTGATGGACAATAGCAGTAATGTGTTCATTGACACTCCCTCTCTTATAGTAATTAAACCCATATCCATACTGAGGCAAATATACATTGGCCCACGAAGGTTGTTTTAGAAAACTCTTAATTTTTTGCTTGATAAGACCTTCCAAAGGGTTTGAAAAAGGAAAGACATGCGGATCAGGTGTTATTTCTATGTGAAAAATTCTTTGGAAACTTGATGTCTGACTTCATGCTACCTTATCTGTATTGGGGTCAGTTATCATGCATCCATGATGTAATTAAGTACAATCTATGGATGGATTTTTCGGTCAGGCTGTGGGCCTAAGCAATGTCTTTGTGCTTCGCATCTAATAATATGCCAGCCATGTACGGGGGATAACAAAAAATAAGTATGAAAGCATCAAATAGAAATATCACTTCTTATTTTTTTCTGATGTGTCAAAGGTTCTATTTGGAAGATTTAAAAGTACAAAATATAAAATACAGTTTGGGTATCGGCACAGTGTATCATACAAATAAGTGAATATTCATAACAAATTTACAAATGCTGGGTTAGAATAAATATTCCTTTAAACGCACCTCAACTGTCTCCATGTGCCATGCTTTTTTTTATACTGCCAATGGTGTAACCTTATAGTTTTATCTAGTATATATTTCATTTGGTTTGTCTATTAACCTGAACTTTCTTCATGTCTGTTAGCATATCCCCAGGTAATAATGACTTACATGTCTGTTAGCATATCCCCAGGTAATAATGACTTACATTGTTTTTATAAGTTTATGCAGCTGTGAAAGTCTAAAGAAACTATAATAAAGTTGTAACTAAACTCTCGTAGGAAGTCAGCATTATTAGCTTCACTTGCAAGACTCTTCAAAATCCGGGTTTCATTTCCATGCAAAAACACTAACGTGAGGGTAGCCGAGTGGGAAACCAGATAATATCTGCTGTGACCTGACCCGTGGTTTTTGCTACGATCAGGGGTAAGTGGACTGTTGTAATATATTCCAAGCAGAAAACTGTTCTAAGCTTGGTTTAACAAGTACAGCACTCATAAAAAAAATACTCCCACAAGTAACATTCCATTAAGTTTAAAACCATTTCTAAGTCCACAACAGCTGTGCATTGGAATAAAACCTGCCCATCATACAATATCATTTTTCTACATGGTTGCAAAAAATGTAAGGGAAAAACAATATTCTCAAAATTCGCTTTCTCAAGGTATTTAATGGTTTTTGTAAGTGTTTATAATGGTGCATTCACGGAGAAATAATCATCTAATTTATTTTTGGATTCCCCTTCAATTGTTTGGTACTATTATTAAAGGGACACTATAGTCACCAGAAGCACTAAAGCTCAATGTGACTATAGTGTCCCTTTAATAGTTCTGGTGTCTATAGCTTGTCCTTGTAGTTCTGGTGTCTATAGCCTGTCCCTGCAAGCTTTTCAATGTAAACGCTACCTTTTCAGAGAAAATGCAGTGTTTACATTGCTGTCTTGTAACACCTGTAGTTGCAGCCACTCAGACAGCCACTAGAGGTGCTTCTTAGTATAGTGCAGCACAATGTACAGCACCTAGGTACAGCGTCTCCACGCTCTTAATGGAGATGCCGAACACGCCCCCATCTCAGCAATGGAGGCGGGGTCAGCCACGTCAAGACCAGTGCAAAAATGGAGAAAAGGTAAGTTTAAACACCTTTTAACTCCACTCTGAGGGGGCCAGTGTACTCCAACACTATAGGATGGAATATATGAGAAACCAAATTCCAGTATGAATTGGAATGGTTAGGGCAGAGTGTACTCAGCCGTAGCTATATCTCCCAAAGACCCTCATTCAGTGTTAAAAAATGTGGAAGTGCTGAATGAAGGGATGGCACCAGGGGACTCCAGGCACTACAACCACTGCATCAATGATATAAATTACATTAAATATATTTATATATATATATATATATATATATATTGCTTTATGTATTTATGAAAACGTTTAGTCACTGAACAACTAATTGTACGGAGTTGAAAATCTAATTGCAAAATTTAGGCCAGTTTCTGTCTGTTTGAGTATTTATCTATAAATTATATTGTTTCCCTCACTTACTTTTACTATGCATTAAAATAATGATATACACACATTAGGCTGGTTTTACACTATCTCTCTCCATAAAAAAAAAGATATTTTCATAGCATTCACTATTAAGGATGTGTTTATCTGTGTGAATATATTGAAGTGTATCCAATATCTCTGGGCAAGGTTACAATTATTCTTTCCATTGTTTACGTGATGGCATGTTGCATGCCAATTACTCCCTTGCGCCACGTATTGTTGATACTGATTTTTGTCCAGGAACATTAGGCTCATGTTACAAAAAAAAAAATCAGAAAATATTGAATGCTGCTAAGAAATATTTGAACTTATAATAACCGGGATTTAAAATAACATAATAAGTGGCTGCAATCAGGATTGGAACAGATAGAAAAATAATAAGCAGGGACAAGAAGGCTGCTAACATGGGTATCGGAGAGGCTGAAAATGTAACTGGAGAGATTGGAAATATAGCTTAAAGGTAGGGGGGGGTGCAGAGGATATTGGTGCTACTTTTAGCAACCTCGACAGATCAATAAAGTCTACTAAAGCAGGGATCCTGTGTGCAAGTAAATGTAAATGCTTTTTCCGTATGAAAATCCTTAGATGCTTTCTGTTGAAATGTAACCTGTGGCATTTAAATTGGTCATTATGTGTTTTAATAAGCCTAATGTGCAGCTTTTAAACTCACAATATTTCACTGAATTGGAAAACCACCTTCTTGTCTGATTTTACCCCAGGGCACATTCTGCAGCTCTCACGGTCTAACAGGCAGAATGTTACCTTTGATTAAACTGTTGTCATATAGCACAATCACTTGCAATTCTATCCAGAACATCTCTACAAATGTATCCTAAAAGCACTTAATTTGCTTTCACTTAACGTGCTCCTTTACTATCCCATGGTGATGTCCAAGTCTAATCCTGGATTGAACTTTAAAGTATTAAATAAAAAAAAAAAAAGGAATGTTATTTTACTATTAACAAGCCCTCAGAGATTTCTTTTGATCTGCACAAGCTTATGGAAGTGTCTCCTTAAAGACCCTTTAATTTCCTATAACAGTTAGAGATATAGAATGTCTAGACCTATATTTCTGCCTTTTATTTGAAGCTAGCTGTGCATTATTCACATCTGTGATGCAATTGTAGGGTACTGTTGGATATTTTACGGATTTGGTTTAGTAATAAACCGTGTGGCTACACACAATAAATCCTTATTAAGTTTGCAATATTTACAGTTGGAGCCAGTTAGAGTATTACTTTGTCAGTTCACCCGCATCCCTAGAAAGTCATTTCAGTCCTTCTGTCTCTGTTTAATTAGCTCCTCTCTCAATTCTTCTGTTTTTTCAACTTTTACCCTCTTTTCTTTAAATGTAGGTTTGTGGGTTTCAGACTAGCTCTTCTACGGATTTTTGTTGATAAATGTAGAATCTGTTTATAATGAGTTTATACCATTCCAAAATTTGGAAATATGAAACCAGAGCCGCGAGGGGTTGTGGTTGCTGAAGGTGTGAGCCAGTGATGTGTATCTATCGCAAGTCTATTGGTACTGAAGTCCTTGTTTGCTGTGCCCATCTGCAGTTTTGCTAGGCAGCCCGACACTCAACTAACTACATGATGCAAAAGCACTTAGACGTCAATAGTGCTTGTTTTATTTTATTATGTATATTTGCAGTTTTTTTTCCAGAATCACCCATAGAGAGTCCAATTAATTGCTTTCCTGTCATATCTATTAAATATTTCTGTCATATTGGACTATATGTGTACAGTTATAGGGGTATCATAAGTAGCAAAATCCCTTGAGTTTTATCTGTCGTTTTAGCTTAATTAAAAATACCTCAAAATTTAAACACTTAGAGTTTTAAGATCTGTCTATTAAATTCCTGTTTGTTTGTCTCTAAAATTCATTACGTACAAAGTTAGTCAATAGCATCTGAGTTTTGGAAAAAGTCAGTTTTAACCAGAACCTTCACATGTTAGGTTTTACCACAATCAAATAGTTTGTTTGAATATATATCGCATGACTAGCTTTGCTGTCTCCTCAATGGTAATTAGTCTTTGGTCTCCTAGAGCTAAAAACACCAGAAAACCAACCTGGGATTGCAAGACAGGGGGACACATTCAGGACTTGCCATGCTGAATGCACCTGTCTAAGATGTATGGTATTCTGCGTCACGGAACAAACTGATTGGATACAATTCTAATCAGAGGGGTTTTCTTTGTTTGTTTCTTTCTCTCCCTTACTCAAGGAAGCCTGTGAGACCTGTAAAGTGATTTTAACTGGTCACCATCAGAATCGCAGAGAGTCTGCACATGTTTTGGTATAAAATAGATCAGCTAACCAAGAGCCTCTACTTCCCGAGCAATTTCCTGTTATTGTACCCAATGCTATTCAAAAGCGCTGCTTGCCAACACAAACTTCTACTCTGCTGCCTTCTACACCATCATACGTTTACATAGCTTTAATCCATTTCCGTCATAATTATTCATCCTGGTAGTTTCTTACATAGATGTTTCTTCCCTGTTGTAGCTTGAGGTTTCAGTCACTTCATGATAAATGACTTATCAAGATCATTGTAATAGTGACTTAGGAAACATACTAAACAGTGATCTGCGGTGAGTTACTCTTGCACTCTTAGGCAGCAGCCGTTCTTTGTCTCAATCAACAGGAGAGGAGCTACGAAGAGAGAAAAAAAATATTGTCTCCAGCTCCTGTACTGGCATAACAGTAAAAGTGCTTTGTTGTTCCTTATTCTAGAATCCCTCAAAGCTTTTATTTTGCTATAATACCCATCGTTGTGTAAAAAGCTACATGATCACACAGGGATGCCTTTTTATTGGGCTAACAAAGTGTATTTAAAGGAACTCTATAGTGTTAGCAATACAAAACTGTATTCCTAACAATATAGTGATCATCTGCCCCCCACACCTCTCCCCACCTCCCCAGCAGATAAAGGGTTCAAAAACCATTTTTAAAAATACCTGATTTTATTGTCTGGGTCCCTTGTGCTGGATTGCTTTCCGCCTCCTCCGATGCAAATGATGAGGGGAATCTAAAATGTTGATCAAATAACTGGAGTGAAATAGTGCATGTATTTGGGAAATAGGATCTAATGCTTTCCTATAGGGATTTTAAAGACACTGGACATCCTCATGCAATATGTTAAGACATCCAGAGTAATTTCACAGAGAAAAACTCAGTAAAAGACCAGGAAGCGCCTCTACTGGCTGACTAGAGGCAGTCTTAACCCTGCAATATAATTATTGAGTTTACATCAGTGATTCTCAATCTCTTATTTATATTAATAGAGGCTGTATTATAATTTGCCACAAGTTCAGCTTTAATTGAGCGATTAAATGTATCCATGGTTTTTGAACTGCAAAAGCAGATTAATAAAAAATGTACTGTTGCGCACATCAAAATGTTACGCTTACCAACAGATTATAATTTAAAAAAATGTTTAAAGCTATATTTAAATAAAAAATTTCTAATTTTGTTTATTTTTCCAGGTCAGCCTTTTAAACTGGATCCCAAATCCGCACACAGGAAATTGAAGGTGTCACATGATAATCTAACAGTAGAAAGGGACGAAACCTCTTCCAAAAAGAGCCATACACCAGAACGGTTTACAAGTCAAGGGAGTTATGGTGTTGCTGGCAACGTCTTCTTGGACAGCGGCCGCCATTATTGGGAAGTGGTTATAAGTGGAAGCACCTGGTAAGTTTAAATACCTGTTTAGTATTATGTTTGTTGTAGTGTATACAGAAATGTATGGATAACAATAACACTAACCATTGTCATGTTTTCATACATCTTGGTAGTAATCGCTCATAGGGTAATAACTACATATGAAAGTTGCTGGTATTTGTTAATTACCAGAATCCTTAATGGAACAATGTAATATCACTATTGCACAGCCATAGATTAGAATACATTTTTATATCACTTTTGCTTGAACAAAAAGTGCGCTGGAAGCCTACATAACTACAACTTTTGTCGATGCATTTAAAAATGTGTTGTTTACATGACCTTTTAAAAAAAATCATTTTTAACATTCCTCTCTGTACTAGCACCGTACTATATTTTTAATTAACTTCTAGTGAGATAGCTCAGTGTTTATTACCCTAGTACCTGTCCAAACCTCTGGGTCACGGGTTTCATTTCTAGATGAGTCAACTGCACCCTTCATCGTTCCAAGGTCAGTAAAATTAGTATGACTAAGAGGATTAGAGACAGCTAATAAAAACTAGTGAAAGCTAAATGTATCTTCCATGGATTCATTTGGATATTATTCATGTGTTCTTGAAAATCAGTGCTATTCAGATTTTCTAAGAAATGGACACCGAATGACACAATTAGTGAGTCATTCCTTTTAGTGCAGCTTGTTTAGTGAGTGTCTGATCAAACTGCATTATCACATTGATATGTCACCCCTCTTAAGCCAGTAATTTACATCATACAGCGATTTCAGATCTGTGCTTAATCAAGAGCTACACAGTGTGAACGAAGACATCCTTCACATTTAGTCAATTAGTTACATCACATCTAAATGCAGTATATGTTCTTCTCCGGTACACATCCATAATTATCATTAGGTTGGCTGCACATAAGGAATTCCTGGTCTATTACTTTATCAAAGTGTGACACTAAGAAACATATTAAGAAATCGCTATAAAGTAACTTGTGTGAATATAGCTTCATCTATTCAATAATTTATTCTTTTTTTTTTTTATATGTAAAATAAACCAGAGCTTCCTCCAAAGCACAACCCTGGAAATACTTTTGTATTATTACTTTTTTCCCCCAAGTTCGTTTTAGAAATTGTCCTTAAGAATTTTGATGTTTTTATTGAAATAGATTCCACTAAGCTGAATAATCAGTTTAGAACATGGTTGGGTAGCTGTCTTGTAATTAAATGGCCAGAAAGGTTAATATTGTGTTTATTGGAATATTAGCAATTTAAAGTCCTCACGTATGGGGCAATGTAATTACAAAAAAAAAAAAAAAAGACTCCCAGCCTTCTTAACCTACATGTCAACTGCATGATGATATCTGGAAAAAGAAAAATATGGAGATATAATGATGTCAAAGTGTTTGCCCTTAGCACTGCCATGTCTTTCTTTAACTCTTGGATGATGAAGTCGTCAGGACATGCTTGTCCTTTTCCTTGTTCTTGGTCTTTTTGCAGATGTGTCAGGAATTGCTATTGGATCTCGAGAGAAGGAATCTTTTCTTGGTACCCATTCTAAGTGGCGATGCATTATAGAGACAATATAGGCATCCAGAGCACTGCATCTCATTGATGTGGTCTGGGTGCAGTGCTTCTGTACCCTTAGTCCTGCGATGTAAAACATAGCAGTTTCAGAGAAACAATGTTTATATTGCCGGGTTAAAACTGCCTATAGTGACGTCTACCAGACAGCCACGAAAGATGATTCCTGCTGTTTCATGCAGTTTAACTATGTGAAACGATGCTGGACATCCTCACAATTTGTATGAAGACATCCAGTTTCTTGCACAATGCATTCCTATGGGGAAGGCCTAATGCACACACGTGCATGCTTATTAGGTTCTCCCCATCGACTGACGCCGGTAGAAGAGTAGCCCAACCCAGCACCATTTTAGAAAGCAAATATGAGATCAAGTAGTTCTAACTTTGTCTGACTTGTTTTATATTTTAGATCTTATACCTTTATTTGCACTGTTATGTCCGTATTTTCAATGCAATACATAGACTGTTTTCCGTTGTTGTCAGCAGTGACACTGACAGTACCACTTTGAGTTTAGCTGCTACACAACTTGTGAAGCAAATTAAAACCAAAACACCCAAACGAATGATGGACTTAGCACAATATGGTTTGTAAAATGTTCATGTAAGTAAGGTGTTTTATGTAAATTATTAGTTGTTAAGCACCTAGACAGTTAAATAACCCAGGTTTAAATCCTTCCTACCTTTGTGTGCCACTGTATTGTAATTGATTATTTACTAATTATTTTGTTTTTACTTTTTTTTTTTTTTCCTCTTAGGTATGCTGTTGGTATTGCTTACAAATCTGCTCCTAAGCATGAATGGATAGGAAAAAATTCTGCGTCGTGGGTGTTTTGCCGCTGTAACAACAATTGGGCGGTGAGGCACAACAGCAAAGAAATTACAATAGAGCCCTCTCCGCACCTTCGCCGAATTGGGATCTTGCTAGACTACGATAATGGGTCGCTATCCTTCTATGATGCGTTGAACTCCATTCACCTTTACACTTTTGACATTGCGTTTGCACAACCCGTGTGCCCCACTCTCACAGTGTGGAATAAATGTTTAACGATTTTAACGGGGCTTCCTATTCCCGATCACTTGGACTGCATAGAGCAAATGGCATAAACACCACCACCACATTGGATCCCTTCCCCAAAAAAAAAAATAATCAAAGCAAGTCAGAGAACTCAATATTGTTATAAATATTTTTTTCCTTAAAAAAAAAAAGGATTTTTTAACTTGCAGGAAAAAAAAAAGTCAACAAAAGTTTATGTTGTCTGACATTTATCTCCAGATCAATGAAATACTTTACAGGACGGTTTATGCATTATTTATGGATTGCTTTTAATTACAATTTGTTTGGTTTTGCACATTGATTGATCATTGCTATAGCTATATATGTCTCAGTGTGATTTTTACTTTATTAAAAGGGATTAAATGTCATGTCACACGATCTGCCAGGGTAGAAAATAGTCAGTCATAATCGTTCTCCACGGCTCTTTCATGCTCTGGGCTGTTGGGCTCATTAAATGTGGAGTCTCACTTAACAAGGTTAGCAAACATTGACATTTTCTGTGAATGCAGTTTTGTTTTTCGTGGAGACAGCTTGTGTGGAGTTTCTTCTACATGTGTTTCCTAATTAGGAAAAAAAAACTTACGTTTGCCAGTATATATGTCATAGTTATATAATGGTTAATGGATTTTTTAATCAGTTTCATAATCGGAGGACATGCTGTGTAGGAGTGCAACGGACTGATTAGGGAGCAGAGTTATTGAAGCTATTGTAAACACTATAGAATGCCGAGATTCAAAATTTTAAATAAAAATACAAAATACGTGACAAGTCTAGAAATACTGAGAGGCCCCAAGTATTGGAATGCCAAAATATTAGTCCTTCCCATGACTTGCCTAATGCTACTTATACCTTATAATGTTTGCCTATCGATGTCAACATCTTCACTTGTATCTGTTTGTTGTTTTTGGAGTGGTTGTATTATTAGTTTCTGATTGCAAGGTATCACACTGGCTGTTCTTAATCTGTCATTCAATAATTCTAAACTACGTTGTTGGCAGAAAAGTATATTGCCAGTTTTATCAGGGACACTTGTCGAAAAGCCATATGGATTCACACGTATAACAACCTCAAAGGATGTATTTGATATGCATCTCGATAAATCGGCAGTGTATTCACCCTAAAGGCAGAGCGCAATGGAATTTGGAATTTAATATAGATGTTAAGCTATCTTTACACTACTCCTAGCTGTAAGTCATATGGAAATGTAAACATGGGGAGTGATAAAAGTTGTGCTTTTACAACAAATTAATATCTGCTTACGTGTTAAAAAAGATTCATGTCAGATGTACATCAGATGTTTCCAAATAAAAAAGTGACTTGTTATTTGGGGTTGGTTATTTTCATGAAATTTCTATAAAAATAGCTGCTGAAATGCACCATTTGTTAGATCACTTTATTTAACTATAATTGTTTGCCATCCTGAATCTAGACTTATCGGCTCAGTATGAAAAATAGAAAATTGTAAAATGTTAAAACGTGCCCCATTTTATTGTCATTAATTATAAATCCCATTTAGACATTGCTACAGGTACAAAGATAAAAATATCAGGTCTTAGTGTTGGATCGTAATATTTAACAGGCCCAATTCATACATAATCCATCAGTATAGAATTCAGGAAGTTAAATAGTTAAAACTCCTCAGACTAACCATTTTTTTCCTCTTTTAATTTCTTAAATCTGTGAAAATATTAGCCTATTATCTAGTGAGAGTGCACATATTGAGAACATATTTTCTGTACTCTAACATTAAATTCTTTGGAAAAGTACCGTAGTACCAATCTATTTTTCATAAGCTTGAAATGTTTTCATATATTAGAAAAATAAGCAGGGTGGGTAGCAAAGCGAACAAGAACAATGGCGTAACTGCGTTCCGAAAGTCCTTGCATTGATTCAGAGAAGCATTGTCAAACATTGACGTGCTCTGATGTTTTATGAAAATGCAGTAGGTATCAGTCAACCTTTCCAGTACAGGAACAATGAATCTTGAGTGCAATAGCGTGATTACATTCGATAATACACACATAACAAGTGTATTCAACAGAACGCTCATTAATAATGCAAGCAATATAGTGGTGTTTCAGCAACACATTCAATGAAAGGGTCAGTGATGTTACGTTGATACAAATTTATCATGACAACCTCAAGAGTGGTATCTCTGCGGTTTTAGATAGTGAACAAATGTACTGTTGCTTATAGGATGAATGCAGGAGGATGTAAGTTGTATTGCTGTGTAGGTATAGCCCAAATTAACCATGAAACTGGTGTCTAGCAGATAGACAAGGTTCCTAGAATAATATACTTGGCCATGCTATGCTGCATACATCATCCCAATAAGAGTTAAGGGGGTACCAAAACTGGTAGCCTGCTTAAGGCCATGTGAGATCTATAATTGCTTTTCCATATGTTGTGTATAGTTATCACTGGTCATTATCTGAATGACTGTTATTTTTACTATAGATTGGGTCTTGTGGGTAATTTTTGCTGAAATTAAAATTTTAGTGGCATCACTATGTATGGCTTGGGTAGAGGTTTAAAGATATAGATCATCCAACTGTTTGGTCGGTAATCATCATTTTGGTTAAGAAAACAATTTTCCTTTGCAAATCCATCTGGACAATTTCGGTAAATTAAAATACGTACAATGTAGAAAGTCAACACAATATCCAGTAAAACTGTGATCTTTTTATATCATATGTTATGAAAAATAGTTATCACCAATTAACCCTTCCACCTAAATAAATTAATTAATTGTATTTGCATTATATTATATAATCATTTGACACATGAGACATTTTTAGCAAGAGTACCAGACTCCACTTCATGTGATGTTATTACAAAAATAAATACATTAAAAAGCTGTACATAAGATGTAGTGTCTCCCTTGCAATTCTTTGGGACATCCCATACCAAGAAAATCAGAACTCGTAGATAAGAGTTCCAGTCACTTCCTCCATTGACAGCCGGAAGCTCCTCCATGATACTTCCATTAAGTCTCCTGAGTTAAGCCAGTTCATAGTACCAGCTGGCCGCACTTAGCCAATGAGCTATGCCCTACACTGCCAGCTTAGCTTGATGCACTCCAGAGCTTCTGACTCTCATGCTGGAGTTCACTGGTGTCCTGGAGGAGCTCCAGAGACTCCTGCCATCTTAACAACTACAGTGTGCTGTAGTGGTCATGGTGCTTGAGCCTAACTAAATAGGGTAAAAAAGACATTAGAAAAAATTATTTGGTCACAATTGTGGGCAGTTTGCATCAACTGGTTGACTTTAGGAGTTTAGGAAAATAGCGCCAAATGATCAAATATTAATTATTAATGATGTTTTTTTTTCACTAGATTACAAATTGTAGCGAATTGTAATCTAAAATTCAACATTTAGACTAAAATAACCACTGTGCCTACAACATATTTGGATAATTTTTTCAAAACCACTATTTTTGTGTAAATATTTCAATTCAGTTTTCAGTTCATCACACTTGGATATTTAGTGAGCAAACCCTAATGTGTGTGCAGTTGTACATACATTTTGGAAGTACCCACACTGTCTATGCCTTCAGCATTGGCGATACATCTTGGATATTTAATAACAAGACAGATGTTTAGTAAATATTAACAAAAAGAAAAAAAGTAAATTAAAAAAATATATATACCCATTGTAAGGAACAAATGATTACGTTTTGGAATGTAGAACTTCGTACATTGTCTTGATGCACTTTAAATATTCAGCTAATAGCAAAACACTAAGAAATAGTTTGAGAGAGATGGGTGAAAGAAAGACCAATGTACTCCTTGTTATCAGATATGTACTGCTGAAAATGATTAGCATTAAACTCTGTCACCTAGTTTCTCACTGTTAAAGGGTTACTGCCAGCACTATAACCACTTCACCTTGCTGACTATACAAGGACTCTGTCTCTGCAGCATCTTGTCCTCAATTTCTGACATATCTAATATTAAAGGACCTTTATAGTGCTCTGAGGGTGCCCACACCTACAGGGTCCCCCTCCCGCCGGGCTGGAGACTCTCCTCCTCCTTTCCCCTGTCATCGACTGAATGTGCATGTGCGGCAAGAGCCGCACGCGCATTCAGCCAGTCTCATAGAAAAGCATTCTCAATGCTTTCCAATGGACGCTAGCGTCTTCTCTCTGTGAAAATCACAGTGAGAAGCGCGGAAGCGCCTCTAGTGGCTGTCAATGAGACAGCCACTAGAGGCTGTATTAACTCATAGGTAAACATAGCAGTTTCTCTGAGCAGTTTCTATGTTTACAGCAGGCAGGGTTAATCCTAGATGGACCTGGCACCCAGACCACTTCATTAAGCTGAAGTGGTCTGGGTGCCTATAGTGGTCCTTTAACTTTTAGCCCGAGTGTAAGTCCACTTTCTGTCAATCAGCCAACCTGGAACAAAAGGATCCAGGCCAACTATGGCAATTGTATCCAGGTTTGGAATGTAGTGTCAGTACTCTGCAATAACAGCTTAGTATGAGCGCTCTCTCCCAGAAGAGACACATCAAGGACTGTGCATGCGCAGTGTTTGGTATTCTAAGAGCTTAATATAGCCTTGCACAACTGTAAGCAGGCTGTTTGTGAACTGATCCTTTGAAATAAATGGAACTACTCTTTCTCTTGAGGATAAACTACATCTACCATAAGCCTTTTCTGTGGAGAAATTTATGTTATGAGAGTTTCTTTTCCTGTAGGAGGGGTTTACCTAGAGTTTAAAGCAGTGTTTTTTTAACTTTGGTGGTATCTTTTTTGTTCTATTTTTTATTTAATTTGCATTCCACTGTAAAGCGCTACGGAATTTGTTGGCGCTATATAAATAGTAACATAATAATAACACAATAATAATTCTTGAAATGCATTATCTTTATGATGCGTAAAAAAATATAAGTTTTACTCCTTTACGCCATAGCTTCCTTTAAGAGTGGCCAAAAAAAATTTGATATTTCTTGGCAATTTCTCATTTTACTGCAAATTTTCCTCTTTTCAATGAAATAGTCTAATATAATTTTTGAGAACAGATTTATGCATCATTTACGCGATTGTTCAGCCACTGAGTAACTCACACTTCCAAATAGTCACAGGGTGATTAGTAAAATAGGGAATTTCAAAGAATTTAAAGTGAATTTTAAATTATAGGTTAAAATAGGCAAATAAATTAAAACGTTAAAAAGCCAGTTCGATTTTCAATTCAGCTATTTTGGCATAAATTTGTTTTAAAACAATATCTTATGGCTTATGTTTTCATTAGATGTATTTCTATATAAAGTAGAGTCACTATTTAAACATAACTGTTTCCAAAAAGTTTTGGGCTAGCATTTGTATAATTTGAAGAAACTTGTGTATATTTAACCTGTTGTTAACCATTTACATATTCACTCTATACATATATACAAAATATCTGTGTGTGGACATGTTACGACTTAGGACTTTAAACTGGCATTAGAGCAGTGACAAAATGGCTGCCACTCAGCAAATCAAAGATTCTGATTGGTTGTTTGAATATTATGTTCTTTGCAGCCTAATACTATTTATTTGCCATTGAGACTTTGTGGAATGCATTTCTAAGATGGCCACTACTTCAGTGACAAACTTCTAGATCAGATATCTAGTGATAACTATAGTTAAGCCTATTAAAATTTGTTTAGATGGAAATATTACCATTAATATTACTTTAATTATGTTACAGTTGTGTGGCATTCAATTCTTCAGCTTTTTCCAGAGATTAATAGAAAGAAGTGTGTACTGACCATAGTAGCGGGCAGAAGGATTACGACCACAATTTACATTGCAACCATCTGTAAAATAGTTATTTGCAAATACTATACTGAAAACACCAATAGACATTTAATATTCTTTCAGAGTACTTTATATGATGTGTGCATCATTACTAAGATACCTGTGAAGTTTTACATCTTAGGCAAAGTCCGATATGTTTACTAAAATATATTTTATGCATATGAGTTTGTATAAATTATGGGGGTTTTGGAAAAACTATTAAAAAAATAAAAAAAAAACAATTCTTTTAGGATTCTATTGGAAAAATAATCCAATAAGGAAAGGGATTTTTTTTTAATTGTTAGTTTAACATATTTTTTTTTCTTCTTTTAATTTTAAAATGAGAGCAAGCTTTTTGAAAGGGCAGTTTAAAGCACTTTGTTAATAAATATGCTTTAGCTCAAAGGGGTTAAGAAAAAGTACATCAAAATTAGAACTCAGTTACCCAGGTACAGAAAAGTACTATAGATTGCCTTATTTATAGAAACACTATAAAGGGAGACTAAGTACAGGATGTATCTTATTTTAATAGTGGAACAATAAACGTGCTTTACGACTTTACATTCTAATCCCCAAACTACTATTAACCATCAGAGAGACAACATCCCACAAGCTGTTTTCTGGTTGTTGTTGTTTTTTTTTTTTTTTTTACTGATTATAATTATTTCTTGGTATGTCATGGCATTTTGCACAATAGTTTATGACAAATTTCCAGTCATCAGAAAATATTTTTTTTTTTTTTTTTTTACCACGGATTATGTTTAATGCATCTGAGGTTATGGAAAATCTCACTAAAGCATCACTGCAATTATACAGTGAGTGTACCAAGATTTCAGTAGAAGAATTATGGGCTCAAATATACAATTTCTGTACTGGTGGAAACATTTCCCTCTGTTACAATTAGGATAAGTAGTCTACCTTGGAAGCAAAGGAATGTTTGCATTGCAACACAAATTTGTGGCATGAACTGAATCAGCATTTCACATGGAACTTTGGGAATTATGAAATCATCTGTCAAAAGACTGGAATGTAAATGGATTGAATAAATTGTATGGTTTACTTTTACAGCCCATATAGAAATGGTTATGATGCAAGTGCTTCTGGGAAAAATAATCACGTACTTCATCTGATTTCACAGCAATGCTAAGGACGTCAGTATGTACAGGACTCTATAATGATTTGTTTGTCAAATGAACAAAATATAGTACTACACCCATTATGTTTTGGTCTGCAATGGACCTTCTTCACAATATTCAGGTCATCTTTGTTTTACTCAGTGGGAGACCTAAATTCATCCATTATATATAAATTGCGTGATCATGGTATTCATTTTCTTGTCCAAGAAATTAGGAATATCAGAGACTCTGTTATGTTTTACATAATGTTTCGTTTTGCAAACAATTTTGTTTTACAACTCTGTTTCTTTTTTGCAATTTTGTATTTTTAAAAAAAAGCTTGTCTATTAAATGAAAGTTTTATTTTAAAACCAAAAAGTGTGTCTTTATCTTAATTGACTATAAGCCTTATTATACTTCAGTAATGGAGGCTTTTTTCTTAAATTCTTAATTTTCATTTTTGACCATAAAAAGACATAAAACAACAGGAATGACAAAGCAACAGAATCAATTAATACATGGGTATCATAAATGTGATAGACAGACCCCTTGTATTGGGAAATACAGTCACAATAATGAAAAAGAAGGGATCGAATAGGATCCGTATAGAAAGAACTTGTATGTAGTTTCTGCTGCAAGGTACACATGACCAGATTGCATGAGGTAAGGGAAGGGGTAAGAGGTAAGGGAAGGGGTAAGAGGTAAGGTGTTAGGGGTTAGTTGAGGGGAGAATAAACCACAAGGTCTGTGTGACCAGGTTATGGGAATTAAATGAGGGATATCGGTAATGCCAAGAAAAACTTTTTTTAATCTGTGCCAAATCAAGCTTTTCTTATTTTTGGATCAGCACAATTTTGGATCAAAACAATTTAAACATAGCTCCCAGCAGTCATAGATTAGGAGGATAAGTCACAATTTGTTCCCCATCTCCCATCATCTAGTCTTTGTCCCCTGATGTCCCACTTCAACAGAAAGTTTTGGTAAACATCATGCCATTGAACCTATGCGGGTGCCACCTTGAGTAGGACTGGCCAGTGAAACTGTCAGTCAGCATAGCATGCACGCACCCCAGATTGACATGCCCTTTTTTTTACTCATCACTTTTTTGAGTTGGCCCACCCCTCATTGCCACCACTTTGTTGCACACCCACACCATCTCGCATCAGTACCTCCCTGTGTCAGGCGGTGTGATTTAAAATATTAATAGAAAGATATTGAACTATGTGTATAATATTTAATATTACAATACAATGTCAATAAGCAGAAACAGTTAAACATTTATTTTTAAATATATACAGACTGACAAAGCTTAAAATCTTCAAATCATAAATACTGCACATTGGATTGGGATTAATTGGTTTTTACAATACCAACAATTTAAAAGTTTAATAAGAATATGGATTTTTTTAGAACATCACTACTGAAGGCTGAAAAAAACTGGTACAAGCTTATTAAAAATCCAAGAAATAATAACATACAAAACAGAGTTTGAATAATCTGAAGTGTTTCATCTCAGACTTAATCATAGACCCGCCATAGTGGGGTCATCCGTTTTGACCTATTTTACATGATTGCTCCTGGCAATTATTTTTATCAGCAGCTTTTGGTATGTTCTGTCAGTCTATGAAGGAAAAATTAGACAAAGGGAGGCAGGCTCAAGACAAACAAGCAAATAATTATGCAGGATTTGCAATAACAAAAAAGTTAAAATAAAAAACACCGATACAAAAGGTTCACATTAAAAAGTGTGCCAATTCCAGAAATCTTCCACAGCGTGCATCTTAAACAAACCAAGACATGCAATCAGGCACAAAGTTACCAGTTAGTGGATGTAATGGTGAAATCCATAAGTGCTATGACAGGAGACTAGTCAGCTTGTAGATGGTGTTGAGGCTAGCCGACAATGATGGACCCAGGGGTTTGTTCACTAAACTCAGAATTGTAGCAAATTAAAATCCAAATGGCTACATTCAGGCTAATGCAGCAGACCTGGCAACATGCTTCAACTAAATTGTAGTCACCACCACTTGGCTATTTCATCTTAAATTTGTATTTTAATGCCCTATTATTTGGAGTATACTGAATAAACAGGATTATTGTAGGGATGGACAAATATTGTCTTCTATTTGCCGAACACATGCCTTATATGAACATTCAAACACATGCCATGGATAAATGCATATATGTTCTAAAATCCAAATGGCTACATTCAGGCTAATGCAGCAGACCTGGCAACATGCTTCAACTAAATTGTAGTCACCACCACTTGGCTATTTCATCTTAAATTTGTATTTTAATGCCCTATTATTTGGAGTATACTGAATAAACAGGATTATTGTAGGGATGGTCAAATATTGTCTTCTATTTGCCGAACACATGCCTTATATGAACATTCAAACACATGCCATGGATAAATGCATATATGTTCTATGTTGTCTTGTCACTCTAAATCTATAGGAATTTTTATTCAAAATATTAAATTATGTTACAAAATTCAAGCAAGTTGGGGCACTTTTTGTCTAGATTTTTGAAACTATTGAATAAGTATAACATACACTTATCAGCCACAACTTGAAAACCACTGATAGGTGAAGTGAATAACATTGATTATATCATTACAATGGCATCTGCCAAGGTGTGGGATACATTAACAATTGAACAGTCAGTTCATTAATTTCATGTGTTGGAAGCAGAAAAATGGGCAAGCAAAACAATCTGAGTGGCTTTGACAACGGCCAAACAGTGATGGCTAGACAATTGGGTCAGAGTATCACCAAAATGGCAAGTCTTGTGGGATGTTCCTGGTATACAGTGGTCAGTACTTACCAAAAGTGAACCACTACCAGTTAACCGTCATTTGAGTTATGGGTGCTCAAGGCTCATTAATGCACATGGGGAGCGAATGCAGCCCATCTGGACCGCTCAGATATATGAGCTACTGTGGCTGAAATGCCTGAAAAACTTAATGTTGCACATGAAAGATAGGTGTCAGTACACACATATTGCGGCATATGGGGCTGTATAGCCACAGACCGGTCAAAATGCCTATGATGACCCCTGTCCACCGCTAAAATCACCTTCAATGGGGACTTCAGTATCAGGACTAGACCATGGAGAAATAGAAGAAGATTGCCTGGTCTGATTAATCATATTTTCTTTTAGATCAGATGAATGGATATGTGTCTGTGCATCACTTACCTTGGGGAGAGATTGCAGCATAATGCACTATGGGAAGAAGGCAGTCTGGCAGAGGCAGTGTTATTCTCTGGGCAATGTTCTCCTGGCATTTAAGTGGATATTACCTTGACACCTATCACCATCCTAGAGAATATTGAATACCACATACACCCCGAGGGTACAGCACGATAAATGCACAATATTAGGCAGGTGGTCTTTAACAAACATTATAGGGTTAGGAACACAAACATTCCTGACCCTATAGTGTTAAAAACACCATCCAGCCCCCTGAGCCCCCCCTGATCTGCCTCCTTGGCTGACATAATCAGAAGTGGTGATCTCAGCCAATCACAATGCTTTCCCATTGGAAAGACAGATCAAGGCAGAGCCAGCACAAGCCAAACACAGCCCTGGCCAATCAGCATCTCCTCATAGAGATGCATTAAATCAATGCAACTCTATGAGGAAAGTTCAATGTCTCCAGGCAGAGGGCTCTCAGCCAATGAATGCAGCCCTGCCTGACTGTGCCAATTTCAGTAGCAGGAGCTTCGAGGACTGAACCTAGATAAATTGTCAAACCATTCTTAAACAGTTTAACTACTTATTCTCTGAGCATTATAATACACACAAATTGGTCAGCGCTAAGTAACTCAATAATTATAAAAAGGCAACAACCCTAAAAATGGGGATCCCTCTCAATCCTTTAACCCCTTAAGGACACATAACATGTCTGACATGTCATGATACCCTTTTATTCCAGAAGTTTGGTCCTTAAGGGGTTAAGAAGATGTAAGAAAATGATATCACAAAAGAAGAGAATGGTTGCACCACATATACAACAACAATATTAAGACAGTCAGCAAGGACTGATACAAGTCAATGGTAAAAATATGAAAAAAATGCTAGCTATACAGTCTCAAAATAAAACTTTTCACATAAAAAGATGCCTCTAATTAAGAGGTAAGTGCAGCTGTAAATGCTTGGTAGAACATAAATAGCCTTGGACTTGAGGAGTGTGACCTTTTCAGATAGCTTGGGTGTCTATATAAAAGACAAAAGGAAGAGCAGGGAAAGCCAATAGTACAATATGTCAAACTTAGTATAATAGATATAATAAGAATAGCGATATCACACTCACATTTCTTAGTCCCATGGCCAGCTCTAGCGTTAGTAGCGTACAGTGGTACAATCCCCACTTATAGGAATGTCCGGAAGCTCAGGAGAAGGTAAAAGATAGAGCTCTCAATAAATTAATAAAACTTGGTAAAAATAGATAAAAAAATAGTACTGACATGTATAGAGCAGAGTCACTGCTCTGTGGTATCAGCGTTGGTGGTATGATCCCCACCTGGGATTTCTTTGCAGTAGATTTTTGTAGAATGTAAACTGCCAGGAGGTATGAAATATAACATTTTAAAAGTTGCCTGCTGCAAACCAGAGCAGTTCTCAGATCAAGTACAGCCAGTTCTGCCACATTGGGTATCCAATTTTTGAATCAATCTATCTTTACCACCATTTTTTTTGTCATTGTAACATACCTGGGTGTGCTTGTTCTTTAATGTATGTATGTATATAATATTATCTGTATTATACATACATACATATATTTTGTAGTTTGTCTCATTCTGCATGCTAAAGCTAGTTGTTTCCTGCCCTACTCATCATTGTTGGTTTGTTTACTTAAATGTTATTCACCTATCTGCTTATCTCTAAATACTTTCTCTGTTATTTCTAATCCCCTCCCCCCACCACCTTATTTTATTGATACCCACCCAAATGTCTTGCTTGACCAATCCTCACCTCCTCTGTGCATCTCCATTCCATAGTTTTATTGCAGGCTTTTTTGACCCTATCATTTCTGTCTTCCACAGTCTGAGTTGAAAAGTTCCCTGCTGCAAACCAGAGCAGTCCTCAGTTGCCCACCCACCCCTACCCTCACCACTCCACCCCAAGCTCCTTATTTCATTTATAGATAGAATATCACACACAACTTTAGGTAATTAAAAATGACAGCTGCAAACATTGCCATTAATCAGCACACTCATTCACTCCCTTAACCCCTAACACTCAGTCCTCATTCTCCTTACTTTTGCTCATCCTGCTTTTTTTAAAGTACCTACTTATCTGAGCAATGCTCTATCTTTTCCTCTTCTTTTCTCTCATCTCCCTCTGCATCAAAATATCTCCTTACATGCACTTTC